ACGAATTTGAATCAGTAGAGATTTGAAGTAAATAAAACGTTAGGCAGAAAAAAAAGGATAGAGATGTAATGAATACATATTACAGACACTATATCCTAACCATCATCACTTGCGTATGGTTATCTCACTTATTATATAATATTTTTGGTTGTTATTGCTGCCAATTTACCTTGATTCTATCCATGTGGCATTCAATGAAAAAAAATAATGAATTTTCAGATTTCGTCTATAGTCTTTCATGTATATGTATAAGTATAAGTAGTTGACATTGGACTATACTGCCCACGTGATCAACCGAATGATAAAAAATAAAAAAGTGACTTAGGCCTTGAATGGCAAATTATTTAAATAACCATCATGCTTTTTATCGTTAAAATTTGATTAATAGACAAAGCATTAAACATAGCGTTTAGTAAATATTAATGCTCTCTAAATGTTTCTACCCTCAATGCTCCTAAATAGAGTTTTTTTGAGTTTTGATCTATGCTATTATTAAAAAAAAAATTTTAAAAAATATTAAATAACTAATCTTTTTATATATAAGAACAAAAATAAATTAGATTAACTTTTATTTATTTTATTTAATATTTATTATTATTTTATTAGTTTTATTATTTTAAAATAATATCAAAATAAAACAATAAAATTTAGTTAAATATAATTTAAATTTAAAAATATTATTAAAAAAATTATGTTATAATTTTATAAATATATTTATATTAAAACTAAAACCTAATATTTAACATTAGTTCATTTTTCTATTTGTTAAATAGTATTATAATAAAATAATAATTTAATAAAAGAATAATTGAATAAAAATGTTGTTATAACTTATGACTAGTAGATATATAATGTATTAGAATACATATAAATAAATATAATGAAATAATTTATTTAATTTATATCTACTTATTCACAGTTATGTCAATCACTTATACTTATTAATCAGAATATACTGTTTTTGCAGCATACTGCTAATGTTAATGTTGTTTCATGCTACTGTTCTGCTATAAGCCATACTAATTAAGGTCACCAGTTTAAGAAACATTAAAAAAAAAAAATCCATGAATCCATGAATCCATCAGCAACTTGCTCGTCCAAATTATATATTTATTTTCTAGTTGTTGAACTTCACAATTTCTTATAGGATGTATTATGGATACCTTTTCCCCCTATTTTTAGGGTTAATAATTCCTTAAAAAAAAAAAATACTTACACACCAAACGAACATGAAGCGACGACTTTGTAATCACAATATATAGGAGAAAAAGCTTCGTTCTTGATCAAGCTCTGGTCAGTATCTACTACTTCGACATGGAGACTTACAAACGTACTTTATTCATCATCCTTTTTCTTTTCGGGCTTAATGAGAAATTCTCGAACGCAACGCCTATAAATTCTCACAAGAGTTGCAATTTTCCGGCTGTTTATAACTTTGGAGATTCAAATTCGGATACCGGAGCTATCTCTGCGGCCATCGGAGAGGTTCCTCCGCCAAACGGAGTTGCCTTCTTCGGAAGATCGGAAGGAAGACATTCCGATGGTCGTCTCATTATAGATTTCATTAGTAAGTATCTTTGCTTTTTAATTTGGGACTCTTTCAATTTTACAC